CCGGCGCGAACCTTGGCCTCTATGACACGAACGAACTCGTCAGAAGCCTGTTCTCGTCGGATTCTCTCTCTCAGCGTCGGCTGAAGCTGCATAGCACTGACACTGGCACTGGTACTCACCGAAACTGCTATGGGGAGTGCATCAATCGCCTGAAGCTGCATCCGGGCAAACTCCTGAATCAAAGGACTCTGCTGAGTAATGACGTACGTCAAATCACCCCTCACTTGTCGGCTTAGGGCATCTGCAACGATGTTCGCCTTTCCCGGATGGTACTGTATAGAGCAGTCGTAATCCTTGATGAGCTCTAACCAACGGCGCTGTCTCATGTTGAGCTCCTTCTGAGTAAAGATATACTGCAAGCTCTTATGATCTGTGAATATCTCACAATGACTGCCGTAAAGATAGTGTCGCCAAATCTTGAGAGCATGAACGACTGCAGCTAACTCCAAGTCGTGCGTCGGATAATTCTGCTCATGCGGCTTAAGCTGACGGGAAGCATACGCAACGACCTGGCCATCCTGCATAAGGACACATCCCAAGCCCTGTCTCGAAGCATCGCTGAAGATAGTGAAACTCCGAGAAGGATCGGGAATAGTCAACACCGGTGCTGAAGTTAATCTCCTCTTGAGCTCCTGAAAGCTCGTCTCACATCGGTCAGTCCACTCGAACTTCACAGACTTCCTAGTCAGCTGGGATAGAGGGAGGGTGATCTTGGAAAAGCCCTCGATGAACCTGCGATAGTATCCAGCTAGACCGAGAAAACTGCAAACCTCGGACGGACTCCTCGGTGTTGACCAATTTTGAACAGCTGAAACCTTGGAAGGATCCACTTCGATACCTGCCTGAGTAATCACATGACCCAGAAAGGATACTCGCTGGAGCCAGAACTCGCATTTGGAGAATTTTGCAAACAACTTTTCTCGTCTGAGGGTTTCAAGAACCACCCTCATATGCTCCTCGTGCTCCTTCTGGCTCTTCGAGTGGACAAGAATATCGTCAATAAAGACAATAACAAACTGATCGAGGTAGGAATGGAAGATACGGTTCATGAGGTCCATGAAAACTGCTGGCGCGTTGCTGAGACCGAATGGCATGACGACGAACTCGTAATGGCCGTAACGAGTCCTGAAAGCGGTCTTAGCGATATCTGACTCCTTAATCTTCAGCTGGTGGTAGCCTGATCGCAAATCAATCTTTGAGAACACACAGGCTCCCCTCAGCTGATCAAATAAGTCGTCGATCCTGGGAAGCGGGTACTTATTCTTGATCGTCAACCGGTTAAGATCCCGGTAGTCGATACACATGCGCATGGATCCGTCCTTCTTCTTAACAAAGAGAACGGGTGCTCCCCAAGGTGACACACTCGGTCGGATGAAACCGAGTCGTAACAGCTCCTGAATCTGCACCTTAAGCTCCTGCAACTCCTTAGGCGCCATACGGTACGGGGCTTTGGATATCGGACCGGCCCCTGGAATAAGGTCTATAGAGAACTCCACCCGTCGATTAGGCGGTCCTCCTGGAAGCTCGTCTGGGAATACGTCCACAAACTCTCGAACGACGGGAACATCGTGAGGTGAACGCGCTTTCTGAGAATCATCAACAAGGCTCACCAGATAACCCTGGTAGTTGCCTCGACGCAGCAACTTAGTGGCTTTCGCCATCGAAACAACATGAGGCAAAGAACGGTTTCTGGAGCTGAAGAAAGTAATCAACTCGTCTCTAGGAAGACAAAGAGTAATCTCCCGATCGCGACATTTGATATCCGCATGATAAAAGGATAGCCAATCCATTCCGAGAATAAGGTCAAAGTCCTTCATCTCGAGAACAAATGCGTCGGTAGACAAAACCCGGCCACCGATGGAAAGGCTAAGATCTGAGGCTTTAGCTGAAGTCACTATCTTTCTTCCCGAGGCCAAACTCACCTCGAGAGGATCGATAGCGATAGTAGTGCAAACTCCGATGGCGTCAAGACATCGTCGTGAAATGAAAGTATGCGTCGCTCCGGTATCAAATAAAGCAAACACAGGAACATTATTAAGAATAACCATTCCGGACATGGTACCTGGCTGCTGCTCGGCCTCTGCCTGATCGATGGCGTAAACCCTGGCCTGCTGTCTGCCCCTCTGCTGCTGCTGCTGGGGCTGCCTCTGTGCCTGCTGACGGGGCTGCTGCTGCTGCGGTGGCTGCTGAGGCTGCTGCGCCTTCTTCGGACAATGGTTCACAAAGTGTCCGGCCTCGTGACAATAGTAGCACACATCCTGACCAAAGCGACACTCGCCTCGGTGAAGCCGTCCACATGTCGGGCACTGTGGAATCTGCTGTAGCCTCCGTCGGGCCCTCTTATCTGCCTGGGCACCTTTATCTTTCCTCTTGTTGTTCTTGGGCGGCTGGGTAGATGGTAAAGCTGGCATCGGTGGAACTGAAGATGACTGAGCAGGGACGGATGGATGAATCTGACCACGAACTGCCTCCCTCCTAAGGCTAGCATCCACCTCCTGAGCAATGGAGACTGCACGTGCATATGTCTGTGTCCCGTGGCCTACGATGTTATGATGGACTGCTGGGTAAAGCCCGTCAATGAAACGCTGTGCTCGCTGGGCCTCCGTGCGGACCAAATCAGGAACAAAAGCTGCAAGTCTCGTGAACTCTCTCTCATACTCGTCGACAGTACGAGTACCCTGATGGAGCGATAGAAACTGACGCTCCATCTCTGCTCGGTAGTATGTGGGATAGTACTTCTCACGGATTAACTCCTTGAGCATCTCCCACGTACATCCCGCTTTCTCACCGGGACGCATGCTCCAGTAAGCGTTCCACCAGAGCCTGGCATCACCGGTGAACTGAAGCTGTGCGCACACCACGCGATATCTCTCAGGTCACTCCATGACCTCGAAGATAAACTCCATACCCTGAATCCACTCGTCCACTACGCGTGGATCTCCCTGCCCTGAGAACTTTTCCGCATGGTAGTCGCGGAACTGGGCGACC